TAGATGGGAGCATATGTTGTTCTAGAACCTGAACATAGTTCTCTGCATTAATGGTGCCTTTCCAGACATGCAAGCTGCCCATGCCACAAGCGCTCATGCAACCCCATACCATCAGTGGTGCAGGCTTCTGAACGGAGCGTTGATAACAACTTGGGCTATCCTTGTCCTCTCTGGTCTGGATGACATGGCGTCCCAGTGTTCCATAAACAACTTCAAATCGTGACTCATCTGACCACAGAACAGTCTTCCATTTTGCCACACTCCATTTTAAATGACCCCTGGCCCAGTGCAAATGTCTGAGCTTGTGGAGCTTGCTTAGAAATGGCTTCCTCTTTGCACTGTAGAGTTTCAGCTGGCAACGACGGATGGCACGGTGGATTGTGTTCACTGACAATGCTTTCTGGAAGTATTCCTGAGCCCATTCTGTTATTTCCTTGACCGTGGCATTCCTGTTTGAGGTGCAGTGACGTTTAAGGGCCCGGAGATCACGAGCATCCAGTAGAGTTTTACGGCCTTGACCCTTACGCACAGCGATTGTTCCAGATTCTCTGAATCTTTTGATGATCTTATGCACGGTTGATGATGATAACTTAAAAGTCTTTGCTATTTTACGCTGGGTAACACCATTCTGGTATTGCTGCACTGTCTTTCTGCGCAACAATGGTGGAATTGGTGAGCCTCTTACCATCTTGGCTTCTGAGAGACACTGACACTCTGAGAAGCTCTTTTTATACCCAATCATGTTGTCAATTGACCTAATAAGTGTTAATTGGTCTTCCAGCTGTTCGCTATATACTCAATTTCCTTTTTCCAGCCACTTATTGCTACTTGTCCCAACTTTTTTGGGATTTGTTGACACTGTGAAATTTTGAATCAACATATTTTTCCTTTAAAATGTTACATTTACTCAGATTAAACTTTTGATCTGTCATCTATGTTATATTACGAATAAAATATTGACATTTGCCATCTCCACATCATTGCATTCAGTTTTTATTCACAATTTGTTTAGTTTCCCAACTTTTTTGGAATCCGGTTTGTATATCATCTGGTACTAAATGTAACAAAACAGGGGAAACCCCCCACCCCCACCAGTATGCAATGTATTTTACAGCAAAAGTGTCATCTGGTTTATTAATTTGATTCCAAAGAACTGCAACAGTAATGTTCAAAATAATTTGTAATTTTGCAATTTGAAAAAGATAAACTTAAGATATTAAATAGAATCATATAGAAATCATTACTAAAAAAAAATAAAAAATAAAATTCCACTTAGTGTCCCCTATTGTCCCCGAGGACCTGCACATAGCTATGGACAAAGGCAAGGAATAACTGCAATTTCTAATACATTTTTTTACAGAAACCCTGACGAGACTGTGCTACAATAACCCCCAAACAATCACATAACGATATAGAAACTGTATCGAAGCATAAAAATTCAAATCCAAAACATTTAAATAAATCTGTAATTTTGACACATTTTATAGCTTTAAGTTACAACTTTTTTAATGTAAATTACAAAGTTCAGTTTCCACCTCTCTGTGAACAAAACACTTGCTATGTCTGCCTCCATTACACCTGCCACTCTTACACCACAGTTATGAATATGTTTTTAGCAGCTTAGTTTAATTGTAAACCAAAGTAGGCCAGGATAAGGTGGATTCTTAACCCCCACGTTGCCTATAAATAGTGTAAAAAAAAATGAAATCAGCAGAATAAAACATGAGAAGAATAAAACTTCTGAAACTGGTAGAATTTCGGCGTGTCATCCCAAGATCATCAGTGGCCCCCTTTGAAAAGTTTCTGGAGGCGCCCCTGGATGTGCTGATTGGCAGCTGATCAGGAGTAAACAGTCTGCTGTAATATTCACACCTGCCACTCATTAAGCCTCTAGCAGCAGGTAAACTCCAACACAGCTCATAATTTAGAGTCTGTTGAACACTTTTCTCAACACCCGCCTGTCCTGCAGAGTCACTGCAGGCTCCGGACCTTTATTCTCAGGTCTGTCTCTCGCATGTAACTGGGGGCGTTTTCTCCGGATTTTCTCTGGATGAATTTTTTCCCTTTGCAGCATCAGTAGCTCTCAGCCCACCTCCAGCCAGGCTACGCTGTTCCTCTCGCTGCCACTGTTTTTTTCTCCAAGGTTGGGGACCGACGTTAAATTACCTCCACGAAGGGCAGCGACTCCACGAGCCCGTAAATAATAATAATAATACAAACAGCAGCGTCTTCGCAGGAGCTGCGTCGCGAGAGAGGAGGAGGAAAAACAAAACCAGGTAGAGACGGCTTGTTTGCATTTTCCGTGCCTCGGTTCATATCCGGCTCGACGCTCGGTGATTAAAGACCGAAGGAGAAAAGAAGGGGGCGGGCAGCGACACAAATGGCTCGTTCAGTAATGTCTGTAAAAAACGGAACAACGCGCGAGACTCTGAACGTGCACGAAACGGATTAATATGTCGACATTGTTTGTGCGCTCGCTGTCCCGGCGCCGTTTCATTGAGACGCCTGAGCTAACCGTGCGGAACAGAATGCTAACATCTGCGGAGCTTTCCGCCTCACCGACTGCTGGTTCGGTTCTGTGACGTTCAAAGACACCATCACGTTTTAAATTCACCCCCACCCCGCGCCCAAATGCTGCACGCGCTTATTACAGCCGTGCTGCTTTGAAGTGGCGGCTTCGTGTGTCAGATGCATGTTGGTGATGTGCGCGAGCTCCAGCGGCTGCTGAAGGCCGCAGCCTGTCGGACAGTCTCTGCTTCATGTCCACATGGAACCTGAGGACACTTCAGCTGCAAACAGGACTCCACAGTGGACGGTGCCGCGCGACATGCGAGGCACGTGCCTCCTACATGTGTCATGACAGCGTCATACTCGAATCTTTTAGCATCGCAAAGTTGTTTTCCGGATAAAATAATAAGCAAGTTCAACAAAGTTGGACGAACCAAGACATTGGAAAAGTAATTTTCAATTGTAAAATGTTTTTACTGTGAAACAACAGTAAACACTGAGGACACTGTCCAAACCAAGGCCAGAGGGCCAAAGATGGCCCTTGTTAACATCTTATCTGGGCCCCAAGATGATATTTTAAAAGTGAAATATTTGTATTTCTTCTCATGTAACTTAAAATGGAGCATATTTTATTTAGTACAGACGTCTCATGACCTTTGACACCAAGAAACAATAGTTTGAATATTTTTTGTAACCTTTGCCTCGTGTGAGAGAAGCGGAGTGCTACGTCAGTAGCTTTGAAACTAGCGAGTCGTGTGCGCTGCTTAGCGCTAGTCATCAGTGTGACAGTTGTCTACTGGGGTTGGGGGAGTTTGGTTTGCAGGGCGCTCGGTTCTGTTGACGGGGCGAGGCGCCCTGCTCGTATAAAGGTAGAGGAAACACTGGAGAAGATTAAATGAGACCGATGAAACTCTTGCAGAGGAACCTGCAACAAGAAAAGATGTCGGGTGTCTGACTGGAGCTAAATGTTTTCACTAGGGATGCACGATATTATCGGCATGGTATCGGTATCGGACGATGTTGGCGATAAAGTTTAATATCGGACATTCCATGAAAATAACTCGCTGATATAAAAGGCGCTGTTTTTGTATGACAACCCAGTGACGAGGATGTGTGCAGCGCCAGCACAACGTGATGACGTCACGCGTTCGAGATTTGTGAACATTTTTACAAATTTGCCCTGTTCGAGTGTTGTCATTGTGTTAGAGAATAAATATGAATCGATTTAATCCAAGTGAAGTGTTTCATCATGTTCAGCCCCTTTTTGGCATCTGCATTTGGTAACAAGCCAAACTGACAAAGACCATGCACAATAATGTGTTTTAATTCCACAGCAGAGAAAGCTGTGTAGTCTCTGTACGTAGGTGTAGGAGAAAAATATCTACTGGCATCGGCCAAAATATCAGAGACAGTCCGAGATTCTTTATTGTCATTCGCACCTCATGTGGTACATGTGGTGGAGCGAAATTATGTACACAGGGTCCCAGTTACATCCAACAATAAAATGTGTAAGAAAAACAGTAATAAGATCTAAGACATGAACTAAGAAAAACATAACTAAATATACACTAAGCACTCATAACATAAAAACATTGAACATCAGCAAACATGAACTGTGTGAGCGGATCATAAAACTAAATTGTCCAGATGTTTTAACATATCGGATATTGGCCAAAAATCCAATAATGTGCATCCCTAGTTTTCACTGGCCCTCGGTTTGAAAGATGTTTTTAATTTTGACCCCTTTTGTAACTGAGTTTGATCCATGATAATACACCCCCATACCTTCAGAGAGGCAGGCCTTTAAAGTGTGTGCTGAAGACACACTGGGTGTCATTGTTAGTGTGGAGGGCATGACATCTGTGGCTCCAAAAAGACTTCCGTTCCTCTGACCACAGAACAGTTTCCAGTTCTCCTCAGTCCGTCTTAAAGAGCTTTGGTCCAGAGAAGACGGCTGTAGGCGGTATGGAAAGCTGTTTACAGATATATTTTGTGGACGTGTTCCTGAGCCCATGCAGCGGTGTTCAGAACAGATTCAGACTGTTCTTAATGCAGCGGAGGACCTGAAGATCACTGACCTTCACAGATTTATCCAAAGTCTTCTGATGAGAATCTGAACCGTAGATGATGGAATATTCAAATTATTCCCAGTTCCATATTAAATAACATTATTCTGAAACGGTTCCACTGTTTTCAGACAGTTTTTGCAGACTGGTGAACCTCTGCCATCTTCTGAGAGATTCAGCTTAGATCAAATGCGTTATTCTTTATTTGCCTCTTTGTGATCTGTCCGCCCTGTTGTTTTTAAAGGCACCACCTTTTATATCCTTTTGTTGGCCCTTTTGCAAGTGTTTTGAGATGACTTGCTGCCATACCTTGTTTTTTTTTTCCTAAAAATGGTACAACATTTTTAAATTTAAACATTTGATATGTTTTCTCTGGTCCATTGCAAATAAAAGATGGGTCAAAATAAAAAACATTAAAATGTTTATAGTGCAGAGTTGCCCTCATTGATTGATGATTATGTTTGCAGCACATACAGTAACAAAAAAGCATTTTCAATATCATTTATATGTTTTGCACAATAGTTTTTAGGTTGATTGTTGTTTAAATGTAGCTCATTTTAACGACCTGTTTTAGATCAATTGTGCCAGTTCCTAAATTAAACAAATTAATGCTACAGTTTAAAATGTTAACACTTTAAATAATCTGGCCTTATTAAAAACTATCAATCAAAAACGCTGTTCAATCCTAACCAGGCTTGTTGCACAAGAACAAGATCAGTTCATGTGATCTGTTGTAAAACATGATTGTTAAAACTCTGTTGGCCTATTTGAGATTATTTCACCCAAATATAAATAATCCAGATTATTTAGTATTCAGAGAAAAGAGAAATATGAGAAACGGTGAACATATGTGTGTGTATGTTTTCTACGTTACTCCATGTCTAACAGTCTGGTTCCATCATGCATTGCGTTGTTTCTGATAACTCTGATGTGTTTTGTGAGCAGAGCACGATGTCGGCCAGAGGAGGGAAAAAGAAGGTCACCAAGCTGTCCCGATCATCCAGGGCAGGGGTCATCTTCCCTGTGGGGAGGATGATGAGATACCTGCGCACAGGTACGCACAAGTACCGCATCGGCATGGGAGCACCTGTGTACATGGCAGCTGTCATCGAGTACCTGGCAGGTAAGTGTGCGTAAGGGGACCGTTGTAATGTTCTCTTTGCTGTGGAGTCAGATAATATGATGATGATGATGATGATGATTGTCTGCTTCCCTGAAGCTGAGATTCTGGAGCTGGCAGGAAATGCGGCACGAGACAACAAGAAAGGTCGAATAACTCCCAGACACATCAAACTGGCTGTGGCCAACGATGAGGAGCTCAACCAGGTAACACAAACACCCCCAACAGTCTTTGTTTGAAACACCTCTCTGTGTGCAAACAGATCCTGTTTGTTCAAACAAGATTCACTCACAGGATCATTCATCAAACTGACGGAACGTGAGTCACTGATGGAGCTGATTGATCTGATCGGATTCTCACTCATAGAATTGTCCAACGATCATTAATGTGGGTGGGAAAGGTGGAGCAGGGCAGCACGGTGGCTCAGTTGGTAGAGATGCCGCCTCTCGGCGAGAACGTTGCCGGTTCACATCCCGGCCCTCGAGCCATTCAGGGTGGAGTTTGCATGTTCTCTCCGTGCTGCGTGGGGTTCCTCCAGGTACTCCAGTTTCCTCCCACAGACCAAAAACATGCATGTTAGACTGACTGGTAACTCTAAATTGTCTCTAGGTGTGAGTGAGAGACTGAATGGTTGTTTGTCTCATTTGTCTCTATGTGTCCCTGTGATGGACTGGAGACCTGTCATGGGTGTCCCCCGCCTCTAGTACAGTGATGGTTGGACATGGGTACCAGTGACCCCCATGACCCAAAAAGGAAGAAGCAAGTAAAGATGATGGATGGAAAGGTGAAGCACCCACACCTGCCTCCACCCTCATTTTCCCCACTCTGCGCCCTTGAGCAAGGCCTTTACCCCCACCATCTGCTCCCCTGGGTGCCCTAGACAGCAGCTCTGTGCTCCACACAGAGGGCTGTGGTAGCTCGGTGGTCTGTGGTTGGTCAGGAAGAACATCTGGTGTAAAAACGATCATCATGTCTTCATGTGAGTTGGTTCACTGTGGTGACCCCTGAAGAAGGAGCAGCTGGAAGAAGAGAAATCTTACTTTTATGGTTGTTGCCAACAGAAAATACAAGTTCTCACATTATTGCAATCACACACACACACACAAATGTTCTAAATCCTTATATTATAATCAGGGATATCCATATTATGTTTTTGTCACTGAGACCAACTTATGTCTTGCATTCTTTTTCTTTTTTTTTTTTAGAATACAGACTTATAGATTGCATAACATCTGCTGGTGAAGATTCTGTCATCCAGGACGTGATGAATTCAAGAATTGTTCAATACAAAAACAACTGGACTTTATTTGTAACAGAAGACGTTTCGCTCCTCATCTGAGGAGCTTTCTCAATTCAAAGAGCAGAGAGTGAGAGATACAGGTTATAAGGCTGAGTGAGATAAGACACACACACACACACACATATGTAGATTTGACCAGTCACACCTCAACACCCATACACAAACAGAGTGGTGTAGTGTCTGCAGTCCAGTGCAGCGAGGACTGTCCAGACCTCTACACTGGAGAAACTAAACAGCCTCTTCACAGACTCATGACTCAACACAGGAGATCCAGCTCCACAGGACAAGACTCAGCTGTTCACCTCCACCTCACAGAGAAGGGACACTCTTTTGAGGACAAAAATGTGCACTTTTTGGACCAAGAACACGGATGGTTTGAGAGGGGGGTGAAGGAAGCAATTTATGTAAAAAGAGAAAAGCCGTCTTTTAACAGAGGAGGAGGCCTCAGATTTCAACTTTCAAAAACATATAATGCAACTTTAAGACAGATTCCCAGCCGGTTTTCACACCTGATGGGAACAGAGGGGCCTCGTCTGTGAATTAGAGGAACAAAGACCTTAAGAAACCCCTACTGTTAAGGTGTGGAGTTGTGACTTGTCAATCTACATATGTGTGTGTGTGTGTCTTATCTCACTCAGCCTTATAACCTGAATCTCTCACTCACTGCTCATTGAATTGAGAAAGCTCCTCTGATGAGGAGAGAAACATCTTCTGTTACAAATAAAGTCCAGTTGTTTTTGTATTGAACGCTTTTTGAATTGCATAACATAATAAAAATTGTACCGGTACTAGTAAATTATTTTATATAGCAGATATGTTTGTACCATCAACTTGAAAAAAAATGGATGAATTCTCTGAGTCAAAATGTCCCAGTTAATGGAAGCTGCCATGTTGTATTTTGGAGTCTGTGCAGTTGGTATGTGGGACTGGAAGACATTACTCCTCTGACAATCTTGTTTTTAAGGCATAAAATAACTAATTACAACTAAACTTATTGGAAAAATAAATATTCTAAAACATTCAAACAAAGTTAGACCTGTGTGAATCAACAGAAGTCAACTCTTGGAAAAAAATAAGTGAGGCAATTTTTTTAAAGTCCTGTTGGTTTATGGAGGTAAACTTTTACTACAACCAGCCTACAGGGGGCGCATGTCCTGTTTCAATGTCCAGTTATTAAATCCCACAAGAGTGCGCACTGCCCGACCTGCCCATTGTTTACATTTGTGACGTGGAGAAGCTAAGATGGCGTCCAAATGGACAAAAGTCCATGTTGAGATGGGAAATATAATAATAATCTCAGTACAAAAAAAAAAAAAGAAACCGTCCAGATGATCTGACTGAACATTGTTGGATGGGTAATATAACTTTGAAGGGAACTGGATCTTAATGATCTGTTCCCTTCAAAGAGCCGTTCACTTCTGAATGGCAGTGATATCATTGTGCTTGTTTGTACATAGTGACATACACATCCATCCATCCATCCATCCATCCATCCATCCATCCATCCATCCAT